CTAAACTAAAATTATCGTTTTTTCAGTGTAGAAATTAAGTAAATATAACTTTAAAAATATACAAACAATAATACAATATTATAAAATAAATGTTTGCATTTTTATACGCAAAATCCATCTGATGCATAAAAAAATGTGTGCAAAATTGAAAAAAAAATCCATTTAAATTATTTTCTCCAAAGTTATAAAATTTCCATATATACAAAGTTTGAACAATTGTTATTAGGTGAAAAAATCATTCAACTTTAATTTTATATTAAAAAAGAAAAATTCATAAAAGTTAGTTCAACTAATAAAAAAGCTTTTATGAACTTTTGTGAAATAAACGATATTTTCCATCAGTATATGTTTTTAGATATCTTAAAGTACTTCTTATCTATTGTGAAAACGACACATCCATTATACGCTTTTCCTCAACAATATATATAAGTATTTATTCCAAAATATCCCAATCCTCTATACTATTTATAGATAAACGTGTCAGACTTGTTCGATCCCATGGTACCTTAAATTTCCCCCGCAAAGTTTTTAACGGTCACAACAAGAAATACTAGAAATATCTACTCAAACTTTTTTCCAAACTCAAATTTATTTATTTTTTTTTTTAATAATCAATTCGTTAAGTATTCTAATATTATTTAATTTTTTTAATTCAGTTATTTAAAAAATTTACTTTTAAAAATTGAAATTTTAATTGTTTTAAAAAGTTCAATTGTTTTAGAATTAATTATGTATTGTACAATATTATTGCATTTTATATATTATATTTTAATTAAATTTTTTTTAATTTTCATTAGTAACATTTTAATTTTTCCCATAAATTCAAATGGAAATATTTTTTAAATCTCGTTAAAAAAGCTATTTCCATTTAATCCACGGTATTCCAATTTTCTCCATCTTCCTCAATATATATGTATTATCTATATATACTATATACACGCAGCTAAAGTAATATTAAATACCGAGAAAATATTGTCCTTTCACATCAGAATTTTTGCCAATTTATATTAAATAAGTTGCGATAAATTTTTATAACCTTTTTATTTTTAGTTTGTTCCCCTTCAAGTAATGCGCGAGCAATTATTGCGATAATAGAACTAATTTAAGAGTTTTATATTATATTTCTCATATTAAAAGTCATTTAAGTATAATGCTTATCAAATTCCAGCCATTGATATTGAATTCCTATCACATCTCGTTTAACGTTAGCTGCATATAAATAATTCACTATAAATTTTTTTTCTCAATATTTTTACCACTTGAAAAAAAAATTGTTAAATTTTCATTTAATGAAAATAAAAGTTTATTGACGATAATAATAAAAATAATTTTTCAGTCTTTAAAATTTGAAAACTTATTTCAAAAATTTAATTTAATTTTAACCAAAAAAATAATTTTCCAAACTTTTAAAAAAATTTCCGGGACGCATGATTATGTTTTAAAACACTTATTAGTTAGAATTTTCATTTTATGGAATTTCATTTGTCATAATTATTTTTGAGCCGAATTTTTATTTGTTCGAATTATTATTTGATATAATTTCCATATAACCGATTTTTCATACTACAGAATTTTTACTTAACCGAAAAATCATTTAACAGAATTTCTAATTGATAGAATTTTCATTTATCCGAAACTGCAAATGGCCGAACAAACAATCGATAGAAAGATTTCGGCGCAATTTTTAAAATCAACCAATCACAATTTTATGGATAATTTTTGATTGGTTGATTTTAAAAATCGCGCCGAAATCTTTCTGTCGATTGTTTGTTCGGGCATTTGCAATTTCGGACAAATGAAAATTCTTTCAATTAGAAATTCTGTTAAATAATTTTTCGGTTAAGTAAAAATTCTGTAGTATGAAAAATCGGTTATATGGAAATTATATCAAATAATAATTCAAACAAATGAAAATTCATTTGAAAGAAAATTCTATGCAATAAAATTCTGCCCAATAAAAATTCTGTGAAGTGAATTTTTGGTTATATAAAAATTCAGTAATATAGAAAATCGTTTTGATGAAAATTCTGCAAAATACTAATTCAAACAAATAAAAATTCGTCTCAAAAATAATTAGAACAAATAAAATTCCATAAAATGAAAAATCTAACTAATGATTTTTAGAACATAATCGCTTCACAAATTCCCATAATATTAACCAATGTAAAAATAAAATATTGGAGAATAAAAGTGAAGAAAATGTAGGTCAAGAATTAAAAATTCTTCACTACAACTGAAAGAAAATAATAATAAAAAAAAAAACATACACGGTACTTGTTGAAATAAAATTAAAATTATTTGTAAGCCACAGTGTGAATAAATATAAAATCGCATCAGTAATTTAAAGTATTTTTTATAATATATTATTTATGAGAAGCTATTAAAAAAGTTCAGGTAAACTCTTAATTAATTATACGGTGTAATTAATACTGATTATCGCGCTTCATGAAATTCAAATTGCCCATCGACCGTATTAACCCTTTAATGATCATTATTATAAGTAAAAGATCTTGTTGATTTAATATCAAAGGCAAAGCGAATAAATTTTTTTTTCTTTTTTTTTTTGAATGCATCAGAGGCAAAAAATTATATTTAAAAAAAAAATGTCAAAAAATTTTAAATCTTCTTTTTCACCACATAAAAAAAAGAAAAAAACAAATGTAAAGTTTGAGTTCATTGTATTGTGTCAGGTGTGACGTCACAGATCAATAGACTCGTCACAAGAGAATCGAATATTCGAACTAACCTTCGTCGGATTCGATTAGAAACCAAATTACTGAATAATTAATTTGCCATTCAGGGTCATTCATGTCTCATCAAGTTTTCGATAAGTTCCTTCGGGAATTGAAAATCAACTTGCCTTTGCAGGTATATATATATATGTATATAAATTCATATTAAATTCATTGCGCACGCGTATCACATTCTTACTAGACTATATTTTAATTCATTCGGATAATAAAAAGTATACGAAAATATTTTTCTTTAAAAAAAATATAAAGATATATGAGAAATAATATATAAATACTAAATAAATTATATAAAAAAAAAAAATGAAATTTATTTTTATTTTACCAACATTTATTTTTTCACTCAATTTACCAAGAAAATTGTTTTTTTTTTTAGTGAACCAAAAGACAAATAATAAATAAATAATAAATTTACTTTTTTTTACAAAACTAAAATTTTATATATTTTATTGTTTTTTTTTTAAATATATTTTTTTATCCTTTTTTCTAAAGAAATATAAAATTAAAATATATATTTTTTTAATTTATTTATATTTATTGTACCTATAAAAAAAACTTTATAGGGTCAGTTGGGGTAAATGGGGACAAAATCGCTATTTTTCACAAATTACGTAAGTTTCTTCCTTTAAAAGGTAATATTTGCGGGTTTATTTTTTTTTTTAAGTTGTTATTTACGTTCCCAGGATTAATTTTATGCAGCAGAAAAAAATTTAGATAAGCTTTAAACGCATGAAACTGACTGTCCCCTTCTACCCTAAAATTTAGAAAATTTCATAAAATTTGGGGTAAATGGGGACAGCATAGTTTCTAAGAAAGTTTTAAGAAAAAAGTTTTCTTAAGTATATTACTGTATTAAGGGATGAAAAAACTTGAAAAAAAATTTGTAGTAGATATATAATAGTTGAACCAATTAAAATTTTTTTATTTTTTTTTTATTTCAGTATTTTGTCTCGCATTTGAAAAAAACAGACTTAAAAATCATACCAAATTTTTTTCTTATTCCTTATGACTCCCATAACAGAAATTCACTTGAATTTTTGATTTTTTTTAATTTGGTTAATAATGACAAGCTGTCCCCATTTACCCCAAAAATTTGAAAACTCAGGGTAAATGGGGACAGCTTGTTATTATTAACCAAATTGACAAAAATCAAAAATTCAAGTGAATTTCTGTTATAAGAGTCATAAGGAATAAGAAAAAAATTTGGTATGATTTTTAAGTCCGTTTTCTTTGAAATGCGAGACAAAATACTGAAACTGTTTGACTTTGATTTTCAAGTTTTTATGCATTGAGCGATAACTTTTTTTATCTTGCTGCCAATTGTCAAGATAAAAGCTTGGCAATACTCAAAACCTCTTGCAGGTGATCTGAGGTTAAAATATTGACGTTGAACTTAATTTTAAAATTGAAAATTAAGCTCCAAAACCTCTTGTCCCCATTTACCCCAACTGACCCTATTTATTCTCAATATTTAGTTTATTCTTCCACAATTATTTAATAAATTAATTTTTCGATTTTTTGGAAGTCGTAAAGATAAAAGAAAAAAAAATTTTTCACTTTTCAGGTAAAAATTTATTTTTTAATTTTTTGTTTAATATTATAATTTTGATTTTAAATTTGTGTTGTATTTATTTGAATATATTTTTTATTAAAGTGACCTGATGATGGTAGCGAACCAGACAAAAAAAACCAATTCAAAAAAGTGAAAGATTGTTTTTTCTTTTATCTTTACGTCTTCCAAAAAATCGAAAAATTAATTTATTATATATATATATATATTTATTCTCATTATTTTATTGATTCCATTTTGTATACAATTTGAAGTTATTATTAAATTTTATTATCAATTAATGAATTTTGGATTTTCACGAGTTTTTAAAAATTTTAAGCTTTGTGATTTAATTTCTCCATACTTTCAATATTATAGTTTCACGATTAAATTATCATTTATAAATAAATAATAATTAAATAATATAAATAAATAAAAATAAATAAATTTAAATATTTTTTTGTTGTTTTTTGAGAGGGCATTAATTTAACGCAGAAAAATATAACATGGCTCATCAGAACTTCAGAAAAAACAAAGTTTTTGTATTATGTAATTGTCATAACTCTAAATGTGGAAAAAACACGTATTTTTCATTATGCATTAAAAACATAACGTGTTGATCTTTACTTTAAAATTAATATTTCTATGTATAATAATAATTATTATTAACTTAGTAGAAGATAAACTATTAACTAACTTACCGATCTATTTTGTCCATTGTTATCGGGTGTTGTAGAACAGTTTGCTGGCCAGACATTTCGACGACGCATTGTGTCCCAAGTTCGAGTTCTAAAATAAGAAAAAAATCGTTACTAAAATCGTCATCAATTATTTTTAATTGAAAATTTACTTTTTTTTCTTCGATTAATGTTTCAAAAATAATTGCATTTTTTTTTATTAAAACTGTAAAAAAAAAGAAGAAAAAATCCAATTTACTTTTATTATTAAATTTTACACTTAAATTTAATAATAATTTGACAAAAAATAAATAAATTTTTAATTAAAATTGTAAAAAAAATTCAATTTAATTTAATTATTAGCTAAAATTATTTTTAAATTTAATAATTTTACAAAAATTAAACAAATTTTTTTATTAATACTGTAAAAAAAAATATGTCCCTGAACGTTTAAATGAACAAAAAAATTTGTTTACTATTTTTTAACTTAAAATTTTATTATGAAATATTGCTTTCTGTATCCAAAAATAATTGGATAATCTATTAAATCTTTAAAATTTTTATTTTTCATTGCAGTAGTAATTTTTAATAAATTTATAGACCAAAAAAAATTTTCGCTTATTTGAAAGTTTAGAACTTCAGGCAAATAATTTTTAATTAACAAAAAAAAAGAAAAAAATTGGAATTAAAACTGTAAAAAATGAAAAATTCAAACTAATTTAATTATTAGCTAAAATTATAATTAAATTTAATAATTTTACAAAAATTGAACAAATTTTTTTTTTAAACTGTAAAAAAAAAGAAAAAAAAACTACCAAAATATTGATATAAAGAAAACAATAATAAAGAAAATAAATATTATTATAAATTAAATTATAAATAAAAATACTAATTATTATTAATTTATTTTTTCTTTTAATTTAAAATTTACTTTCTCTCCTTTAATTAATTTTATAAAAATTGAACAAATTTTTTTTCATTCAAAACAAAATGAAAAAAAGGAAGCAAAATTTATTTTTTATTTATTTATTTCAATATTTTACGGACAAGTAAAATTGTCCTTAACAAAAAAAACCTTAAAATATAACGAAGCTGAAGTACGCAACGTTTATGATAAACGATTTTTAAAGAAATAAATTTTTAAAATGAAAAATTTCTATAATTTTTTGCCTAAAAAATATTTCTTGTAGTTTTCATTAATCAACAAATTATAAAAAAATATTTTTTAGGCAAAAAATTATAGAATTTTTCATTTTAAAAAATTATTTCTTTAAAAATCGTTTATCATAAACGTTGCGTACTTCAGCTTCGTAAAATATACAATAATATTGATAAAGAAAACAGAATAAAAAAAAAATAAATATTATAAATCAAATTATAAATAAAGAAATTAATTATTGACACAATTCTTTACGAGGTAATAAAAAAAAGTTTAAAATTGAAATAAAAATAGAAAATCTATTTTTATCATTTTATGATACAGGGAGCAATTTTTATTATACTATATGCGGATCATAGTAGAAAGTACGTGACTTGCGATAAGATGGATAGGCGGTCCCTATAGTAACTCGTTCATTGAACTTGAACTATAAAGTTCTCTCTAATCGACTCAAGACATGAGTCGAAGTTCAAAAAGTCCAAAAAAAAAAAACCTCTGTGTAGGAATATACACCCACATTTGAAATAAAACCTTGAAAATAAATTAATGTCATTTCACATGCGAGAGACACTCAGGTATTTAATAGACACAAAGTTATTATGGTGCGTTAATGGATGTTAACAACGCGTGACAATAAAAACAGTTCATTATATTATATATATATAATGAAAGAAGTGATTGAATTACGGTTTTATTAATATTCAAAGTGTAACATACTCGTGAGCACGTAATTGTATTATACATGCGTATGGCATACTAAATAAGGATTAATGCATTCCTATGTAATACATTACAATGAGTTGTCTGTTACACCAATATTTTGTATATATATCTATCTCCATTCACGAGAGAGATTCTCAATACTTTTTATTTTCGAAATTATGCCTCAATATTTACTGACTATATTTTTTCAAAACAAATTTTATTTTCAATGTTTAATGGCTTTTAGCAAATTTTATTTTTTCATTCACGGAAAAGAAATTTGATAAATTCTAAATAGAATATAAACAAAAACGCAATCGAATACTTAAATGACTTACCTTTCCATCTTTTGATTTTTCAAAACAATGACCTTCAAAAATTATAGACAGATTCTTCTTATCAAAATACTTTCAATGGAATTACTTTTTTTTTTTGTAAACAAAGAACAAACTTTCAATAATTTTTCTTTCCTTTCTTGCCAACACAAAAATAACGACTAATGTCAGTCACATTTTCCCAAGAGTTAAAAGTAAGGAAAATTTAATTGGTTGGCTACAAGAGTAAAAAAAATTTGCGATTAGAATTGACCAATCAAATTTTTTGCTTTTGATACAGTTGTTTTAAATTAAACTAAAAATCTTTTTCTTTGTTTTCCGCGTTTATAATATTTCGAAAAAGTAGCAGTGCGATAAATATCGTAAGTCAAAAGTTTAACATTTTATTGATTCTATTTTTGTTGGTCAACAAACTTCCAAAAAATGAAAGCAAGGAAGTTTATGTTCTCAGGTTGTTCCGCGTTTCTAATTGGCTTATAATCTTATCAGAATTATTACTAACCAATCAGAAGAGCAACAATCTAAAATAGTATAATTATTGTGCAATGAATTAAACTTAAAAAGCGGAAACATAACCTATAATTTTCTTATTTTGTGGTTTTGTGCAAAAATGTCACTTCTAAAAAGTCTATTACAGTGAAAAAAAAACTTCGTTTCTATCATTTTTCCAATTGATCTAAGAGTTGAATTGAATATTTTCATGATTCTTATGAAGGGGAACGTTTTTAAAGCGAATTTCAACAATGAAACTTGGACCTGGAAATTTTTTATTACAAGAAATTAGCTATATACTGAATTGTGGGAGATTAAAATATTCTAACAGGTTAGTATGATCATATTCAATATATTCAAACTTGGAAATGAGTACATTAGAGAACCAATATCTAAAGTTCTAAATACAAATACTCTTTTGTAGCAAGTTCTTTGTATGCCACAAACACCTGCTACTGTACTCTCAAACTTCTGTTTATTTAAAACACATATATACACACACACATTCCGCTTCGTACTTCCGTTTTTGATAAAGTTTCTGTATTCATAATGTAAAATTAAGTTAAACTTTTTGAAATTACGTGTCACTAATTAAATTATTAAATTTTAATCTACATATATAAATAGAGACATTCAAATTAATTAAACATTAAAAATTTGTTTTATTAATTTAAGGCGACGCTCCGCTGAAATTTCAACCTTTCGAAATAACATTCAACCCCTTAATAACATTAATTTCGATGAGTTGAAATTTCACCTGTCCCTCCACTTAATTAAACATTAATAATTTGTTTTATTAATTTAATAAAAAAATAATTTATCAATGACAAATGATTGTTGAATTATCAATAAGAATAAATATATAATTAAATATTAATAAATACTAATTAAAAATTTTTTTTTTCTCCAATTGTTCTCACAATTCATTGATTATTTTTCAAAATGATAAAAAAAAAGTCATTGATTGCTTTATATATTTAACGTTTTTTAAATGTTTATCTAATGACAGAAGATGATTATTTTTAAAACCTATTATTGATAATTTATTTTCGTGATCAATTTGAATATAATAAATGCATTCATAGAATTTTGAGTGTTTGACAAAAATATGTGGGCGTCCGCATGAAAATGGTTCCTCTCACTTTGGCACTATTAAACTTATCTATATGGGAAAATTTCTGGATAGATTTGGAAAATTTTTAAAAGTTTTTCGAACCCTTTAGAGATAAAAAAAAACCGCACGATGCTGAAGTTCACAACGTTTATGATCAACGTTTTTTAAAGAAATAATTTTTTTTAAATAAAAAAATTCTATTAAATTTTTGTCTAAATGATATTTTTTTGAAATGTTTATTGATCAAAAAATTATTTTAAAAAAAACATTTATTTAGATTTCAGAATCGTATTGCCTTAAATAGTTTAATTTATATGAATCAATAAAATAAAATTGTTGAGTGAAATAATTTTTATTATAAGTATTAAAATATCAAACATATTTCAGTAAAATACATAAATTAATTATTATTTGAAGAAACTTATTGTTTTTTGGACCTTTATATCAATAAATATTATACTACCAAATTTCACTTAAGTTTATAATTTATATTTTATATTCTCTAAATTTGGTTATGACATTTTTTACATCAATGATTGAAGTTTAAAATTAGGGTAAATTTAATTTTTGATAAATTAAAACTTAAATCAATAAAAATTTGGATAATGGGTCAAACCATTATATTTCAACTAAAGTGGTCGCTGACTAATTTTTAAAAATTATAATACTTTGCAGGAATGATTTTGAAGTTATCAAGATCACGAAATGAAAAGAATTTTATTAAAAATTTAAATATTTATTGTAAAATATGAATTTAAAGTATATGAGGTGCTAAAAACTGTCAATCTTTTAGCCATTAGAAAATATGCAAAAAAACATAGAATTTACCATAAAAATAAAAAAAAAATTATTGGAATTTACTAAGAATGAATAAATTTATCATTATCAATTGATATAATTATTTAAAGATGTGAAGTAATATATAAAATATGATTTCCAAGTGCACCTGTCAAATAACCTAATTTTGCGATTTTTATTCATTAATTATAAAAAATAGAAAACATTAAATTAAATAAAAACTTACCAAATATGAAGTTCTTGCCATAAACTTTTAGAATTTCTTTGCACTTTTCTTCTTTTCTATTCATAAGTATGAAAAATTTAAAAAATAAAATAGCTACTTTGTCTATTTTCACTATTTTTGAAAGTCAATAACTTTCTTGGAGAAAAATGAAAAAATATGGGGTTTCGAAAATTATTTAAATACACACTACATATACATTCACTGAAAATTTCGCATTGGTCCCGAAGCTATTTTCGAAGATAAAGTAAATTAAAAATTTCGTATTTTTTAGGCTATATTAACATGG